AACCTTGTGGTTGAGTTGTAGAATCATCTCCAATTAGGTAGATAGTATCGTCAGCTCAATCAAGTAAGATTGGGTTATGTCTTTAAATATGTGACTTTAATTTCATAGGTGTTAATTACTAGTTTACCTTTATGTAGTCTTCCTAATCACAAAATAGCCAATCCATTTCAACTACTCTTAAATTTTGGCCACCTCATCTCTGGTGGCTGTATTTCCTCAGGCTAATTTTGTGCTGTTCAGCAGTGATATTTAGAGGATTAGCGCGCTCCTTAGAACACACCACAATTTCTGGAAAAGGCAGGTAGTAACTATGTATCTCTGTATTTACTTCTCTACTGGAAGACAGTTGTGAACCAGCATAGAATTTGGTTGATTGACTTATCCCTGAGTGTTAGCTTTTTTTGGAGTATTTGCACGTCTTTATCAAGGCATCTATTTTCCTCTCTAATCCTGGCCTTTTCTGTTCTTCCTACTTGAGTTCCCTGGGAATAATGCACTGGAGAGGGGCCATTGGTTTTTTTGCACAGAGCTTGTTCTTTGGATTTTTCCCCTGTCTGTCTGCAAGATGCGAAATGCCTTACCATTCTGTAATCCAAAATCTTGTTACCGGTCCTTGATAAATCATCTTGACATGTAGTTGAGCAGCTGAGATATTGTCTCTGAAGTTTGACTGGCTTTTCAAGTTAACCTTTAAATATATTGAAGCCATTCTGCAGTTTTTCAGATCCCAACTTCACACATTAATGCAGCACATCTTCCACGACAGAAAAGATCAGATACTTTCAACTAGTCACATTCTGCTTTTGCTTTTTTCTTAGCGATAATAATAATTTCTGCATTTAAAAAATAGAATAGTGACAGGACAAACAACCTGTCAACCTTGTTCACACCTAATTTTGCCCTCAGAGTTTACCCCAGGTGGATCAGCGCATGTCCATGCAGTTACTTCTATTTTTATATCATTCTTAAGAGCCAAATCTCATCCTTGAGCCTTAAGTAAGGCAAAAATCTCATTGAAGCCAGTGGGATTTTTGCTCTGCCTGCCTAATGAAGTATTTGAGAAGGAATGTCATGCTTGCGGATCGGAGAGGCTAATTGTATAGTCTTCAGGTTTGTTCTGCAGGCAGATAATGTTTGGCAGTTCTTTTCATGCTGGGTCTGGATCTGCTAGCAGCCATTGCTGCTGTTACAACCTTTAATTTTGTGTAAAAAAAAATGTGTGTCACTATTCACCCCCACTCTCCACCTACATCCCCTAAAAAAAGAAAAGGAAAAAAAAAAAAGCCTTTTAGAGTGGAAGGCAAAATACTTACTTTGGACTTTGTATCCCTGGAACGCAAGGTGTGGATCACTTGTCTGGTAGAGAACTACAGACCTGTAGGCTAGCACTTAGAAACTGCTGTGATAGTGGCTACCAATTTTTTGAGGCACCTAATTAAATTTTGAAAACTTATTCTTCTGAGGTGCCCAGCATCTACATCTGGAGTTTTCATATGGACACTGGGTTCAAGGTGTCTCCAGTCAGATGCTCAGTTTTAGAAAGTTCTTGAAAATTTTAATCCTAGAATCCAAAGCGTATGTTGTAGTCCATAGGTCTTTTATAAGCTCAATTTGTGAGGACCAAGACTGAAGAATAAAATGATACACCTTCATGTGCAGGCTCAAATAATGTTTTTAAGTAGTAGAAATAACGTTACCTCAGTGGGGCTGCTTTCAGATGAGAAACTTACATGTGGTGTTATTTTAAAAGAACACTGTGTAGGTTAATTATTGGAAGATATTTATGCAGCTTATAAAATGGCAGATTTATTCTCTGTAACAACTGAAAGGCCACTGCAGGAGCTCATCGCTGCCCCTCAGCTCTGTCTGACCGGGACTGATTCCAAGACTGGACTTTGCTGCTGTAAGGAGAAAAAAACCCATATGGTAAAATAAGAGAAAGAAATGCTGAATCACTTTTCTTCAATTAAGGCTTCACAAAAAAGTCTATTTTTAATCTTAGCAAATACCCTGGTGTCTGATCTTCTGTGAGTATTTATACTTCTTTATTTTAATAACTCCCCTCAAGGCCAAGATGCGCTAAGCATGTAAATCCCCAGAGAACTGATGAAAAAAGCAATCCCATTCACTTAAATGTAAAAATAAACCATTTGGCATGTTTATGAAGAAAAGAATCTCATAAATTATTATTACTACTTCTTTTTCTTTGTCGTCTAGTACTTTCTGAACTAGATTGAAGGCACGCACAACTTCCTGTTTGTGTTTTTTTGCTTTGAAGTGATGGTGAATAGATTCATTAAATTTGAACAAAAAATCCGCTAATTTGTTGCTTGTCTTCTGTTTCAAATGGATGATCTAAATGGCTGAAAGTACTTGTTGCAGTGCTGCTTGCAGTTTGTTATGAGGAAAGTAACCTCCATTTAAGCAGTGTTTTCCTCCCAGCAAAATCTCCAGGTCACAGCTCTTTCAATTACATGCAGAAGAAGACAAGGAGACAAAGCTAGTCTGGGGAGCTTTCTCTTTCAGCAGCAAAGTTTGCATTTCTTTTAATGTAGTTAAAACATTTGACAGGAGAGAGTAGGGTTTAGTGATGTGAGGTGATTTCCAAATGAGTGTTAGCTTTTTACTGACCTACTTTTGACTAGTGGTGTATTCTTGTCCATTACTTTTTGTCATTGAATAATGCTGATATATTAAGCTGTGTGCTTCAAGGGCATTGTAAAATTGCATGTAGGGGCAGGACTGAACTGTGAAAGTGTGAATTACTCTATCAGATCATACACAATTAAAAAGTGACAAGCACAGCAGGAGAAATTGAAAGCAAGGTTTATCTTTCATGTAACATAAGAAGTCACTATATCAGTTAGAAACAAAGTGAGTGTGAAACAGATTCTTTACCTCTTCTCGTCCCTTTCCAAAAATTAATAGTATCTGCTGACTTCATTATCTGAAAGAATAAGTGCCTGAGTTGTAACAGCTCATGTTGAAGGATATTAGGACAACGGCAAGAGAAGGGGAAGTACAGCAGCCATACACCTTTAAACTATTTGCTATCAAAGCATGTGCTGAACCTCAGGTCAGTGCATTGGGGATTGACGGATAAGGAGTTTGGAAAAAGTGGTGGTAGTTTATATAAAGCTGTAGTGTGTCATTAAAAGAAGACTTGCAGTCTTTCAGACTCTCCGCAGTTCCACAGGAAGCATAGGCATAAAAGCATGGTATGGAAACAATGAACAGAATGGCTACAAGCTAGGGAAATTTATTTAGTCTCCAGCGCCATTGCAAAAATCCTTATATAACCTCTTGCATAACATTCACTAGCACTCTTCTAATGGTGAGATGAGTCTGTGAATCTATAAACAAATGCAGTTGCCTATGTACAATATAATCTTCCAGGATCCTGCTGGCTCAATATGTTGTGTTGCAGAACCTGTTCTGATGGTGAACCTGGATTAAAGATGTTATAGACAAAATTGTGATGCTTTCCAGAGTACTAGGGTTGTGGTGGGTTTTGGTTTTTTTGTTTGGTTTGGGTTTGTTTTTTTTCCTTGCTAATCCGATAAACTCTCTCATAAAACAAACAAACAAACAAAACCCAAAAGGAAATCAGCTTTGCAAAATGTGCCCTGAATTTGCTATTGGGATGCAGACTGCTTTGGTGATTTGACTGCTGTGTGAGCAGGTGAACACCACCTTCTGCAGACAGTTGATGTTACATTGATCCTGAGGCTTGCTGCTAATGGTATTACCTAAGTGGTTTCAGTTAGTGAACTCTTGTGTGTTTGCATGTGTGTGTGAACACAACTTTAGCACAGCTGATTTAGTTAATGCTGAGTTTTCAGATTAGGCTTTAGTGTGTGACATTCTACTTTGTGAAGAAATAAAAATACAAAAAGTAAGAGGAAAGTGAGAAATATGTGAAAAGCTTCATATGTGTAAGCTGTGCTTGGAGGCATTGTATTATAGGGAAAATAGAGGGAGATGGGTGGGCAACTTCACAGGGTACCTGATCCATGTAGCAAGCTTTGCCCGTAAAAAGTGATGCATCTTTGAGTGAAATACATATTTAATCAATGAACAATGAGTTAAAAGTTTAAGAGTGACCAGCTGATTATCAGACCTACTAGACTTGGAGTTGACAAGCACCTCTTAGTGAGGGGAAAACCAAGGTTATAATGTGAAAATGATTATTCTCTAAAAGCCTCCATTTTCCTCGAGGAGGTTTACCTTTTCACTCATTCATACACATGATGGAGTACCAAGGGTCATCAAAAAGAATGGCTTTACTATTGTGTGTTATGGTAAGTAGTTTATTGGAGTTTTTTGTGAGTCACTAAGTTGTAGGGACTCATATGCAGGCAATATCTAGGTCCCAAGTTTAAAAACAAACAGAAAACCCCAAAACATCAAACTACAAAAAACTTCCTCAAATCTCATAACAATCATGAGTGGTAATTCTTTCCATTTTGCAGTGTTTCAGTTTTGCCAGGAGAAATTTGATACAAGACTCATAACATTTTAAAGGACTCTTGTACATGGACTGAATAATTTGTTAGGCTTGCTTTCTTCTCCTGAAGGTAACGGGGAGGACCTAGGTGTGTGGGTTTCCTGTCCTTTTTTGTGTGGTGTTTTTTGGGGGTTTTCTGGGATTTTGGGGAGGATTTTTTTCATTGGTTGGGGTTTGGGTTTTTTTTTGTGTCAAGAGGAAACTTCTAGAAATTGTGCCTTTGTTAGTCTCACCATTTTTCTGGCACGACCAAGAGGTTAATGCATTAATTACTAGATACATTAATGTGATACAGATACAATAGACTTTCAAGAAAAAAGGGGAAAGACACCCACACTGTGATTTGAATGTGGAAATGATTAATAGAATTTTCATTTCTAACTGATATATGGAAGATTTATGGGTAAGAGATGAGCTGGTTAAAACAAAAAAACCCCAACAAACAAACCAACAAACTGTATAGTTATACCATTACCAAACTTTTATTTTGCAGTGACCAGTGTAAAAGAAAATGCTGAAAAGTACATGGAGATGCTGGAGGATAAACTACATAGGTAAGGTTGATAGCATGGAAACCTCTGAAAGCTTAAAATGCTTGTTAATGCAGATTGACATGCATAAGAGTGTTACGGAATGTTTTGGAACTTGCATTAGAATAATACCGAAAATAGTTCAAAGTGGGAAATCCCATATGCGTTATTGTTAAGATCTCTGTTCATGGCTATGTTCAGAAGCTTTGCCACAATCCTGCCAATGGATGCAGGTAAAAGAAAGAATTGCTGTGTGTAGAACTTCTTTGGAGCAGTGGTGGTACAGCCAGAGAAAAGAGAGTGTGCCTGTGCTTGGCGTGCATTGCTCCAGCTCTGCCTGCAGGTGCTGTAGTCTGTGGTGTGAGCTCTTGAACGCTCAGAAGCCCTGAAGTATTGGGGATGTGGTAGGTGACTGAAACAATTACCACCCTGTTCCTATGGAAAAAAAACAACTCTGAGCAGAGCCAAGAGATCCCTTACCAGAATTCTGGGCATTTTTAAAGTAATGACTCTATATAACAGTTTTGAAAGAATACCATTTTGGGGGATTGTGAAAAGCAAATATAAACCAAGACAACAATGGAGATATTTTAAGAACTGAATCCTCATGCAGAATATGCTTATTTTTGTCTTTCTTTTTTTTCTTTTTTAACCGAATGCTGGCATTTATATTTCCTTCTTTTGCTGTGTGAAGGGGGCTCTAGATCACCCTCAAGTTTTAGGCTGTTCCTTGAAATAAAGTTAGTAAATTTTGCTCTGCTGCTGTAATGGAATCTTCTATGATAGTGGACTTTGCCTTGTATATTTATGTCAGAAAAAGACTTCATAGGAAGTAATTGGAGTCTGTGACTTGATAAAATGCAGCCCACCAAATTAGCATCCCTTCCTTTTCTATTACTAAGCAGGTATAATAGATAAACTTGTTGCCCTCATTATTTTTTGTGGTATTGATAAAGAGAGGGTTCTACATCTTTAGGTTTGCTCACTCATACTTTTGAATACAGAAGTACTTATTTTGCATAACTCTTAAATTTAAAAGTAATTTAGAGAGATGAGTGAAAAATATGGAAACAGACCTTGAAGATCAAGCTATGTGTCTGTGTCCTGCCTAACCCCCGCTTAATAACATTTATACTCCATAGGGGATGCCCCCTCCCTGGCAGTGTCCAAGACCAGGCTGGTTGGGGCTTTGAGCAACCTGGTCTGGTGGAAGGTGTCCCTGCCCATGGCAGGGGGGGTGGAACTAGGTGATCTTTAAGGTCACTTCCAACCAAAACCATTCTATGATATACCCCAACCCATAAGTGTAAGAGAAGTCTTAAGAACTTTCTGTGGGTTATCTTTTTGAAAATCATACTCTTTGTTAAAAAATAAAATATGAGGTATAACAACATGTATTGATGCTTCTAGGCTGTATGGATTTAACTGACATACCAGGCTTCCAGAAAGAAGTAAATTTCTGTTTAACAATTAAATACTTGGAGAATCTGTGTAGACTTCTTTCTTCTTCCGAGAATTTATCAGCTAGGATTTGCAGTTGTGGCTTGTTTTAGTTTGTTTATGCCTTTCTGTATAATTTTTGAGTTGCCTACCTGGACTTTTCTGCACCAGTGTCTTAAATTGGAACACATTTTTGTGTGCCTTGATAGGTGTTGTTAATAAGCTTGCAGTGTGCTTTTTTCCCCTCTTCCTGCTATTTGTAGGAGAACTTTCCATGCTGAACTGCTGGTATTCATCCTGCTTCTGTGGGGAGTATCATTTCAGGGGAGGTATTAAAAGTTAAAGCCTCTTTTTGGCACTGCTTTGTATTTTGAAAGCATTTTTTAATGAACAGTCATTGATCATTTCAAACATCCTTTAGCAGATTTAAGAGTTGTCGAATATTGTAATATAATTCGTTGCTTTTGTATGCAAGGGTTGACTTCCTCAGTACCACATAGACCTGGGCCTGTGTCAGTCTAGGTTCTCTATTGCAACCATGCTACAGGCTTCAAAGCTTTGCTGTTGAGACAAGCATTCTTCCCAACCTATCAGCACATGCTTTGATAGCAGATAGTTTAAAGGTATATGGCTGCTGTACTTCCCCTTCTCTTGTCATTGTCTTAATATCCTTCAGTGTGAGCTGTTACAACCCAGGGGCTTATTCTTTCAGATGATGAAGTCCAAGTGTATTGTTTCAGTCTTACTGGTGCATTTAACATGCTCTTCAGAGCCTGCAGTTAGCTTCTCTGTCTCTAACAGACTGTTGTGGTGTTGTCAAGCTTCTAAAATTTCCCTTCCTGCCCTTAAGAATTAAAAAAAAACCCCAAAACCCAACAAAAAAGCCACAACAGCAAAACCACTTAAAAATCACCATCTAAATCCAACAAAAAACTCCCCCCCTAAAACCCACTGCAGTGCTGGCCAAGCCCCCAGATGGTGAAGATTCAGTCCTGAACCAGTGACAGTTTTGCAATATGTACAAATGGTATTATTCTAAAAATAGTTTATCACAAGTAATTAAGAGCTTTCCTTTAATATTGGTGGGAAGAGAAAATCTTTAATGGTTTTACCAGAAAGATATTCTTAAGATACTACATCTTTAAAATCTTTTTTCTTTTATGCTAATAAAGTGGTTATAGGTGCCTGTTTTTTAAAGGTTCTTTGGACTTTAAGTAATTAACTCCACCTGCTTTACAGCTTCAGTAATTAAAAAAAATAAGCAAGAGCCTAAGAGGCACTTTTTTTCCCCTCTTCCCTCTTAAAGACTTAAACTTAAGAGACTGTTTCTCTTTTTTTTAGGTCTTCATATAGATGCTCAGATTACTTTTTATATCTTATAACCTAAAGAAGGGCTCTCTGAGGAAAGTTTAAAGTTTGTTTTACATTTGCATTGTAGACAGAAGTAAAATTTGCTTCTGGCTTATGGATGCAATTTTTGGATGCCTTTGAAACCAGTAGAGGATCAAGACTGTGCAGCATGAATTAAAATAAACTTCTAAAGTTTTTATCCAGATGAAACATATCATTTTACTAGCTAATATTTCAAATAGAAACAACCTAGATTCAAAATGCTTCAATTTAAGGTATAGCTTCAAAATAAGGTAGAACTGTTAGAAATGTAATTTTTGACCACTGTTATAGTAGAAGAGAGTTAATGAAGAAAACTCAGACCAAAACAGCTTTAATGAAGATTAAAGTTAAAGTATTAATTTTATAAATTAAAATGGTCGTGTGTCGTTGTTCCCCCCCCCCCCC